ATATGAAGGGACGCTATAGGGAGATATAAAGAATTCTTTATAGAACAAGCTATTGTCTCAAATAGAAGCAGGAACTGTGAGAACTTCAGCCTTCCCCTCACAAAGAGGGGCATGTGGCTGTGAGTCAGGGGGTTCATTGCTGCCATAGTCTGCCATGAAGAACAAATTGGTTTTGTGAAGCCCACTTAACCATTCTGAACCTCATTGAATTGGTAATAGAGAATTCAAACAGCATTATCAAGATCTCCCTTTAGCTCTAATTACATTATACTGTATTTCTGTTCTTCCCAAAGGTTAGAGATTACTTGCTCCAGGGAATAGAGCAATGGCCTGGAGTAAACAGATGAATGAGTTCCTTGATATGGGTCCATTTAAGTTTGTTATTTGATATGTGTCTATTTTAACAGAGTTCAATGTATGGTTCTAATGGCACAGAACTTCAGTGATGGCAGGTGATCAGAGACCATTTGGTTTCTCTATCCACCATATTGGCAAGAGCTGTGTTATTTGGCTTGCTAATGAAGACAGACAGGAAGCTCCTTCTATTTTACCATTAAAAGTATTTAACAATTTACTACTGTAAGTACCATTGTCCTTTGTCACAAGTACATTCTCAAGACTTCCCTGGTGGTCCAGTGGTTAAGACTCCATGCTTCCAATGCGAGGGGCACGGATTCTATCTCTGCTTGGGGAGCTAAGATAGTATATGCCCTGTGGTGTAGCCAAAATAAATAAGGTGTTCAGCCACTAGGAGTTAAATAAAAAAGATGTATTCTCATTTTTTGTTGTGGATGAATATTTTCTCTGCACTAGGCTGTGAGGTCCATAAGAGGGGAACTTGTTAGTAGAGTTTTTGCAGTGTATGCAGAGAACCTGGTGATCTTAGATGAGTCAGTTGTTTGCCTTCAGAAATCTAGTTTTATGAGGGTAGAGATTCACTTTGTTGTGTTAGAGATGAGAAATTATTTTAAGTATGCTATTAACTATATGTGAGAGACGTATAATTTATCTGTGCCTTTTGGTAAGATAACAGGAGATGTTGATGAACTCTGGATGTACTCTTTAGCAATGCACACATACATACAAGGGGATTCCCAGATGGTGCTAGTGGTAAAGAACCCACCTGCCAATGCAGGGGATCTAAGAGACTTGCGGGTTCAATCCCTGGGTCAGGAAGATCATCTGGATGAGGGCATGCAACCCACTCCAGTATTCTTGCCTGGAGAATCCCATGGACAGAGGAACCTGCTGGGCCATCAGGTTGCTAAGAATCAGATGTGACTGAAGTAGCTTATCATGCAGGCGCATGAACACAAATACAGGAAAACACTGTGCTCTTGACAGGAGTTTGGAACCACAGAACCATCCAGTTGCTCTGTAGTGGTTTCTTGATCATGGATTCTGAATATCTTGTCTGTGTCATCATTCAATTTAAATCCATCCTGTGCAGGATTTCCATAGTTAAACTAGTAAATGATTAATCATAACTTTGATGTAGTTATTTCAGAAGTAATCAACTGTAGGTTTTTTAAGAATCTATTGATAGAACAAGAATGGGAATTTGAGGCCCTGGTTGATTGAGATTACAAACTGAGAGCAAGGAGATAGGGAAATGAACTGCGAAAAGAACAGAAGGAGTGATTATGGTGGCTGAGGGCAAAGGTTTAGCTAGGAAGAACAAAGAATGCATTTAGGACCTAGAGGTCTGCAGAAAGGTGGGGCTGGTTAGGTAAGTACAGAGCAGACCCCCTCTGAATGGCATTTATGAAACAACCCATTCAATCCACCACCAAAGTGGGGGGAGGGGGGAAACAAGATGAAGTCTCTGTTAAAAAGAATTATAAACTGTGGACAATTTAAAAAATCATATGCCTAAGACTTGCTGGTTTAAGGAAAGAAAAAATAAAGCTTGAAAATATATTGCCAAATTATTAGTCTTTAACTTGCATGAGTTTTCAGCCTGCAGAGCTAGTATTCATATCTGATTCCTGAAGTCCTGAGAGTATATCAGCTTTAGGTGTTAAGATACAGACTCTGGATTTAACTTTTTTTTTCCTAGGCTTTTGTTGATGATCCCGTGGAAACAAAAGTGAATTTGCTTGGTTTGGCAGAAATGCAAGAAAGATAAGCTGCCTGGGGGAGAGGGAACCTGTTCCATTGCCTGTCCCAAGGTCTTTTCAAAATGTGTCAACCTGAGAAATTTTCATATGTAATGTCTGAATCTAATTATTTAGTTTGGCTACGAAGCATCGGTAAAGCATGCTCTAATCGGTTTGATGCTAACACTGTCACAAGGCAACATTAAATCATTTTGAAATGATAATACTTATGGTTAGTCAATATTTTTGCAGCTGTGTTTGCTTGTCAAATTTGTTCGAAACTAAACCCGATAAAATTGGTTATGGTAAAAGAAAATAAAGCAAATGATGATGTCCTTTATTTTCCTCATTTAAGTAGAGACAGAAAATGAGATACAATATCCTTAAACATCTTCCTCCTTCCCTCAGTACCACCATAATTCAGGGACTTACCATCTTTTAGAAACTTCTGGATAGTCTCTCTGCCCCCGTCTTTCCTGATTTTCATCCATCCTGAACATAGCAGCTAGACTTATTTTTGTAATGCTCAGCTATACTCTTTGTCATTTTCTCTGCATGAAATATTTTATTGGCTTTCAGTTACCTATATAATACCTAACCTCTGCAGCCTGACAGCTTACACCCTGACTACTTCAAGACAGCCTCACTTTTCACTGCCCCTGCCTCTTCTCTCTGTTCCAGCATACTGAACTACTGCAGTTCCACACATATTTATTAAGTGCTCAATTTGTCTCAGACTCTGAGCTGTGTGCTGGGGGGTTCTAAGATAAGTAAGACCTGGTCTTTGACCTGAAAGAACTCATACCCCATAGTAGGAAATGCATTAAACATGCAATATATAAGCATAATATAAGATGGTATATACCCTGGTACAATACATTCTAGTGGTCCTCTGCTTAGGGTAAAATGTTTTTTATATTTTTCCTGTAAAGCTTCTGTCTACCCTTCAGGAATGTTGATAAATATCACCTCCTTCTGTAAGGTGATACATAATTAATTACTTGAAAGATTTGCTAACATTTTGTGTATACTTCTATTAGAATTTATTTTGCTTATATTGTATTGTCTATGCCTATCTATTTGCATATGGATCCATGAGCCCCTTGACAGCAAGGCTCAGGCATCCCACAACCTTGTTTGCATGCTTAATATTTAATACTTTCTAAGCTTAGAAATATTTGTAGACAAATAGCTTTTTAATGTTATTCCAAAATTATTTTAAAAACAACAGAGATGTTCTGATCTTCATGAGTCAGATTTAATGGAAGATGAGGTGATACTCTTTAATAGAACTCATTTGGTCCAAACCAGAGTTTAATATTCAAAGTAACACTATTTATTGAACTTTTCCTATCTTCAAGACATTGTTCTAAGAACTTCATATAAGTTACCACCTTTAATTATTGGAATTTTGAGTTGGGAAATATGACTTCCTTTTTATAGATTTTATAGAGTTTTAAAAAAATCATTATTATAATAGTTAATAGTTACACAGCACTGCCAGGCACTATTCTAATGCTGGTCATATGTTTACTCATTATTCTTCACACTTTCATGATTTATTACATTGTTTCTATCCATCATTATTCCCATTTTATAGATGAGAAAACGAAGGCACAGAGAGGTTAACTTTCTTGCCCTAGATCATACAGCCAGAATTGCAAAGTCTAGTAAAATGTAATGAACTTTAATAAGTGACGAGTGATGTTATTTTCTTCTTGTTATTTAACAGTCTAGGGTTGCAGAAAATGAGAAGGCATGATTAGTACTTGGAGTAAAATATATTGAAAAGATTTGGGTTCCTGTAAACTCAGACCTAAATTTAAATTTATTTCCTTTTTTGTTTGTTTTGTTTGGCCATATCACATGGCTTACGGAATCTTAGTTCTCTGACCAGGGATTGAGCCCAGGCCCTCAGCAGTGAGGCCCTCATCCTAACCACTAGGCTTCAGACCTAAATTTGAATAGAAGTCTGTCTGTATCACAATCATAACTGAAAGACTTAGGCCTTGTAACAGCCCAAAATAAATGGAGACTGGGACTGAGGTTATATTATCAGCTTTGCCACTGTTGTTTTGTGGCTTTAGGGCATGTGGCTTCATCTTGATGGAATTAAACACCTTCATTTATAAAATCATGAATTGGCATAAATTAACTTTTAAGGTCCCTTTTCACTTTATAATTCTGATTCCATCACTGGTTCAGGATCACATCTCCTTAGAATTCATTACTTCTATGTTTGCATCTTCCTGTATACGTGAACTTTGTGCATGCTCAGTCATGTCCAACTCTTTATACCCTATGGACTGTAGCCTGTCAGGCTCCCTGTTCATGGAATTCTCCAGGCAAGAATACTGGAGTGGGTTGCCATGCATTTTTCTGACCCCGAGAGTCTTTATGACCCAGGGATTGCACCAGTATCTCCTGCATTTCCTGCGTTGCAGGCGGATTCTTTACCACTGAACCACTGGGAACTAGGCAGTGTGTAATCTTCCAAACATGGATATCATAAAAAGTAGAAGGGGGAAAAAATGGCTGAGATTTATCATATACTTAGTTGGCTGCTTCCTTTGCTCATATTGATCATTTGATCAGTTTGCAAATCTTACTGTAGCTAGATGCATTAATTTATAACTTAAGAAAGCAAACAGAGTTGTGAAAAATTTTGTATTTATTGCTTTTAACATGTTTTATATTTATTTTGATAACAATATAAACATATCAATAAAATAAAAGTATAAGTTGAATCTTTCTAAACAAGTGTGTGCTAAAATCTGTCTGTGGTTTGCATATATCTAAATTGGAATTTTCATGATGTATATATGCATTTACAAAGTGGAACGGCTTGTGTATGGAAGCAAATAAAAGAATTTTTTCTTTCTATCCTTTTTTTCCCCATAGACTTGCTGCTTTCAAATAGCTGTATTCCCTTTTTGGGCTCATCAGAAGGACTGGATTTCCAAACTATTCTGTTAGATGAGGAGAGGGGCAGGCTGCTCCTGGGAGCCAAGGACCACATCTTCTTGCTCAGTCTGGTTGACTTAAACAAAAATTTTAAGAAGGTCAGTTTATTTCTGTCTAGTTGATTGGATGCATTTATTTTCATCTGTGCTCCTTTCCTTCTCTTCTGTTTTAAGTGATTCAACATCAAATGCAGTAGGTCATGTGCATGTTAAAAAAGAACATATGAAAAGAACGCATTGCCTCTGATAGATACTTCTGGATTTTATGGATTTAAGCACATATGCATGCTTTTTGTTAACAGTGAGTGTAATACTAAAATCTTTGAAAATATGAATGAAAGGTATGAAAAGTTAATAAATGGATGCTAACAGAAATGCAAAGTTTTAGATTTAAAAACTGGAAAATGAGTTATTCATGAAGTATTAACATTTATATATCTGTAGCAATTATTATAAATTTTTAAATTAATTTTCAGTGAACACATAGGCATACTTTAAAATGATAGTATGACTCTGGTGGCATTTTAAACCACACTGTCTTCTCCACACTCTAATTTTACATTTAGAAAGGTTTCTTCTAAATAATTCTATGAATAGTAATTCTATGAATTACTCACATTCAGATAGTAAGGGTGAACAATGCCTCAATTATGGGCTCATTAACAACAATCTTACCACTTAAAAGAAATATATACTCAAAACTGAAAAGCAATTACTATTGTATCCTACATTTTCAGCTAGCATTGTGATACGCAAAGCAAGGACTGCCACATTGTCTTAATTATTATTAACTAGTATTGTAACTTAGTAAATATCAATATCTATGCAAACAAAAATGGATACCAAGACTAGAGAAGTTGAATGACTAATGAGAAGACATATGATCTATTCTGCATCTGTAAGGTATATTTGGTTGTTTTTTTTCTTTCTTTTCTTTTCCATAAGAAATACTATTACAAAAGAAATACTAGGAACCATTGCAAGGTTTCAGGTCAGTAGTTCCCAATACTGTATTCTTGCCTGGAGAAGCCCATGGCCAGAGGAGCCTGGTAGGCTACAGTCCACAGGGATGCAAAGAGTTGAACACAACTGAAGCGACTGAGCATGTACACGCTGAGTTAATAGAGATTTCATCCCATTCAGAAAGAGTTATTTATAGGTCACTCTTGGACTTTGAAACTTCACATAGCTTTCACCTACAATGACCACTTTAACTTAACCCTCTAATTATGAGGCACTTTTAATAACTAAATATCAGTTGTTCCACTATTTGAATATTATCAGCACTAAGAGTTTTAGTCTACATAGGCAAAATATTTGTCACCATATGGGTTACTATTGCTTAATGAGCACCTGCATTAGAAATATTGTTTTTGCTCTTTTAATCATTTAATTTTTAAGTAGTACTTCCACACATTTTCAGGCCCACCAAAGGAAAAGGAATACTTTTTTAATACATGCTCAGGTATGGTAAAGAAATAATCTTTGATTGCAAATGCATATGTGTGCCTTTTGTGTAATCTGTGTTTCTAGAAGAATGAGTGCTACAGTATTGCCAGTAGTTCTTGACTTGGGTCAGTCCAAACACAGACTCATAAGGTTATCTTATTTTTTAAGATGAGTATTATTCTATAGCCTAGATATTGTTTACAGTAAGATAAAATAAACAGTTGTGTGGTAGAATTTGAAAAAACTTATCTTTCATTCTTCCATTAAAGCTCCATTCCATTTATTCCTTTTTTAAAAATATTTATTTATTTATTTGGCTGTCCGGGTCTTAGCTGTGGCACATGTAATCTTTAGTTGTGGTGTGCGAACTCTTAGTTGCGACATGTGGGATCTAATTCCCCAACATTGGGATTGAAACCTGGACCTCCTGCATTGATAGCATGGAGTCTTAGCTCCATGCTAAGGGAATTCCCTTATATAATAACTGGGAAGTCCCCCAGTTCCTCTTAAGGATATATTTTTTCCTTAGAAGTATGAGTACTTAAAAAAAATTCCTAGGAGAGGCTATAGATAATATCAACTAGTATCTCAATCATCAGTAAATATCTTTATGGCTCTTCTTACAAAAGAGGCCAAAGAAAATCTTCTTCAACTTTGCGGTTTTGCTTTAAAAGACACTACATAGCTAACAAAGCATTTTTCCAAATATGTCTCAGTCTTAGAATAATAACAAAAAGCAATTCATACTTTTAAGGGAATTTGTTCTGGTGCTGTTCTCTGCCTTCAGAGATTGGAAAGGATTGGAAGAATAAGTCCATTTATCTGAACTGAGTGTATTAGATCATTGCTTAAAATAAATTCTGATAGCTAACTTCCTCCTCTGGCTATTTTAAGCAAATCTCTCTTTGGCTATATTCCATGCTTGAAATGTGCTAATATCTAATAAAATAAATGTTTATGAAATATTGATTTCCCTTATGATGTTATTGAAATAAATGGTCATTTGAACATACTATAAAAGTAGGGTCTATACTAGAAACTTTCTGTTTAACTGACATTTATCTTTGTAAAATGAACAATTCATAAAGAGGTTAGGTATGCAAAGGTAAGAACTTATGTTTTTATAGGTATCCACCTTCAAAATTTATATAAATCATGTCAATTCTAAAAGGTTCTTACTTCACAGTAGCAAATAAGTGTCAAGATGTAGTAGTTGAGCAGTGTTTAGACCTACGTGGTTTGCATTGGCTCAGTGCCCCTCAGCAAAAATCTAGACTCCTCTGTGGAAGAAACCACACATGCTGGGACTCTGTGGGTCTGAAGGATTTCCTTTGTATTCTTTATAGAGTAAAGCAGTCTACAATACATAATTGAGCTGTGAGTGACTGGTTGGGAATTTTTTCCTCTGGGAAATTTAAAAAGAAATTGTGTAGAAAGTACCTAATTGGAATATCAAAATTTAGGATATCTGTTTATTTGAAGTTTTTGTACAAACAAGGCTGTGCCTACTGAAATAACAGCCATTGTCATTTCATATTTGCCACAAGCATTTAGAGTGGAATCACTAAAAGTAATAGCAAAAAGTCATTTCATCATAAATATTTAATAATATTCTTCTTATGATCTTAACTCTGTTCAGACTAGATTTTTGAGTCTTATATAGTAAATGAGGCACGTATATGAACGGGGCAGGTATATGATCAATAACCTTTGAGAAAATGGCCATAGAAGGAAAAAGTCAAAATTAGACCTTTCTGGGCATTTCCTCCATCTAGAAGGTCAAAATTAAGTGGACTGAATTTTTTTAAAATTCTGACACTTAGAAAAGAGGGATAAGACTCTGATCCCCCCCCCCCTTTTTTTTTAATTTCTATAGGGACATAATAGACTTAAAGGCAAGTATCAGCATTACCAGGGACATGATATCCCAGAATTTAAGGAGGCTTTTTCTCGAATTGATCAGTTGTTGTTTAGTTGCTAAGTTGTGTCTGACTCTTTGAACCCCATGGACTGTAGCTCACCAGGCTCCTCTGTCCATGGGATAGCCCAGGCAAAGAATACTGGAATGGGTTGCCATTTCCTTCTCTAGAGGATCTTCCCGACCCAGGGATTGAACCCACATCTCCTTCATTGGCAGGTGGCTTCTTTACCATTGAGCCACCAGGGAAGCCTGTAGAGTTGGTTTGTTCATCCTCTATTTAGTTCAGAAATGTGAATTTCTCTCAGAAGGTTTGAGACAGGTAATGCACATTCATTTGCCACTCCAGTATTCTTGCCTGGAGAATCCCATGGACGGAGGGGTGTGGCAGTCTATAGTCCATGGGGTCGCAAAGAGTCGGACACGACTGAGCAACTTCACTCCCCCAACACTAGATCAAAATGGAGCAATCAGATCCATTCAGAAGGGATCCCATTCCAAGGGCAGAGATCTGGATCTGTATTTAATCACTCCCACTAGTTTGTTGTAAGTTGAGTTCCCCCAGAGGCTGACTGTGAGATGATGAATAGCTTATAGAGTATTTGCAAGGGAGGGTTTCTTGGGATCAACACATGTGAGGGCATCACTAAGGAAGGAGCATTAGACAAAGGGAGAAATGAGTTCTGATGCAGTCTGAACAAAAGCCTCAGCTGACAGACCATGCTGATAAGGTAGCAAACGTTTCAATATTTTCCTCTATATAAGTGATAATACCATTTTTCAGCTTCCTTTATCTTGTAAAAGAGAATATCCATTTTCTCCCCATCTCATTCATTCATCATGACCTTTTGTGTTATCTCTTAGAAAAATAAAAATCTGATCATATTTCTTCTCTGTTTATAGACTTCTGGCAGTTCTTGATTTCCAGGAATTAGTATAAACTTCAGGATCCTGTTGACTTCTAAGTCCTTCCTGTCCATTTCCACCCTGTTTCCAGTCTCCTTTTTACCCAGTCTTCCTTATTCCCTCACTAGCATTTTACTTTGTTTGCCTCTTTCTCTTTCTTTACTCTAACTAACTGCCACGTTAGTTCCTTCCAAAATAATTCAAGTTTTGTACTTTCCTACGATTTCCTGAAATTGCCATTCACTTTCTTGCTCCTCTCATTCTTCATTTTTGAAGGCATCTATCTGATTTTACTCTTTACCGCATCCTGTTCTCCAAGGGTTCCTCATCCTCAGGAGACATAACTATCTTTGTGTTTACTAGAATGTTTTATATACTTGTTGTGTTATTCAGCTGCTCAACAGTGTCCAACTCTTTGCAGCCCCATGGACTGCAGCATGCTAGGCTTCCCTGTCCTTCACCCTCTCCTGGCACTTGCTCAAACTCATGTCCATTGAGTTGGTGATGCCATCCAACCATCTCATCCTCTGTCATCCTCTTCTCCTCCTGCCTTCAAACTTTCCCAGCATCAGGGTCTTTTCTAATGAGTTGGCTCTTCACATCAGGTGGCCAAAGTATTAGAGCTTCAGCTTCAGCATCAGTCCTTCCAATGATGTTTCAGGACTGATTTCCTTAAGGATTAACTGGTTTGATCTCCTTGCTGTCAAAGAAACTCTCAAGAGTCTTCTCCAACACCACAGTTCAAAAAGCATCCTTTCTTTGGTGTTTAGCCTTCTTTATGTTCCAGCTCTCCCATCCATACATGACTACTGGAAA